AAGCACATGGGCGACCTCAACAAGGCCGCTGACGTGATGGTTGAAGGCCGCAAGCTTGATCTGGCTGACCGATACATCAACAACAAGGCGACAGAGTATCTGCTGCATGCGGACCGCGTGGAGGAGGCCGACGCTACCATTGCGCTCTTCACTCGTCATGAAGGTGACCCGCAGCAGAATTTGTACGATATGCAGTGCATGTGGTACGAGATCGAGTGTGGCAAGAGCCAACTGCGTCAGAAGAAGTACGGCCTGGCCCTGAAGCGCTTCTTCGCCGTGGAGAAACACTTCAACGACTTCGTGGAGGACCAGTTCGACTTCCACACGTACTGCATCCGCAAGATGACGCTGCGTGCGTACATTCAGATGCTGCGTCTGTGTGACGAGATCTACGGCCGCCCGTTCTTCGTGGAGGCTGCCCATGGCGCCATCGCTAGTTACGTTGCTCTGGCGGAGAAGGAAGCAGAGAAGGTCGAGGAGGAGGCCAAGATCGCTGCAGCCAACGCCAACATGTCGGCTGCTGAGAAGAAGAAGGCGAAGCGTGCATTGGCCAAGGCGCGTAAGGCGGAGTTCAAAAGGAAAGAGGAGGAAGAGCTCAATGCGAAGCTGCACAAGGAGGTCGAGGACAAGGAGCGTGAGGCCACCAAGAATGGCAAGGCCAAGGCAAACCCGGGCCCTACGCGCCCCAAGGACGACGATCCGTTCGGCGAGAAGCTCGCTGCGAAGCCTGCTCTTGAAGAGGCCTGGCGCTTCGTGTCGATTCTACAACGTTATGCCTCGGAGGACGTGAAGACGCACCTTGCTGCGTTCGATATTGCGCTGCGTAAGAAGAAGTTCTTGCTGTGTTTGCAGGCTCTGCTGAAGGCGCAGAAGCTGGAGAACCTGTCAGCGGAGACCAAGAAGGAGCTGAGCTCACGCCGTGCTGTGTTCCTGGAGGAGGTGAAGCAGGTGACAAACCCCGTTGTGCTCAAGGTCATTAACGAGAAGAAGGCTGAGCTCAAGGAGTAGGTGCGAAGGATAATGTTTCGAGGTGTGGACGTTCCTCGAATTGGATGCGAGCGACGTTCACGCATAGAGACGAGGTAGAGACAGGAGATGCAACGAGCGTTTGTCGAGAGTCAATAGAGCAGCATCCGGCGATGTGCGCCTGCAGAATGATAAGCATTTATTTTTTGCGAGGGCAGCAATGTCAGGGCTCCCACGAAAGCGTCAACTCCTTTGCAAATAGGCCTTCGCGTCAGCTTTGATGGAGGTCATCATGGCGTCTGACAGCGTCGCGACCGGTAGAGTCAATTTGGTAATGTTATAACATATGCGTTGAATGGCATTCAGACGAAAAAACCCATCAAAATTTTAATGTTTTTTTTTCGTCAGAATGCCATCCAACTCAAAATAGTCAAATTTGGGTCGTTATAAAATATGCTTGGATGGCATTCAGACGAAAAAAAACCATTAAAATTTTGATGGGTTTTTTTTTGTCTGAATGCCATCCCGACCAATCAGATCTCTCAGTTGTTTTGTTCCCATTTTTTTGTTTTATAATTTGTTTTTAGTTATCACTGTAAAATACTACGTAATTAATTGTATTATAGTAGTTAACGCAGAAAACACTAATTGTTTTTAACCCAATGGCACACCATGCTGAATTCAAGTTAATTGAAAAACCGGCTGGTTTTACAAGAAGCGCGTGGAGGATGTGGCGATGTCTCCCTGTTCGAGTCTTCCGCAGGCAGCGGTTGTCTGTGTGCGGCTTCTCAACTGGTAGCAATCTTGCACCTGTTAGGCTCTATGTGGTCGCTGGAGAAGCATCGGGTGATGCTATCGGCGCCAAAGTTATTCGTGCGTTACAGAGACATCAACCGCCTCGAAGTCTTGAAATCCGAGGAATCGGAGGGTACGATACGCTAAAAGTATTTTTTATTTTTATGGCGTCGCTAACTGTAGCGATACTGTGCTGTGGATAATGTAGACCACTGATGTCTAAAGCTGGTGCATTTGAATCGCTCTTCCCGATGCAAGAGCTGTCGGTTATGGGACTACTAGAAGTGGTGCCGCACATTTGGCGGTTCCAGGTTAGTCATCATGGAGGTTGTACGGGGAAATGTAAAGCACTAAGATTGATGTAACTGACGCAGCGACGGATTCACGATACGCTGCGTGATATCGAGAATTACCAACCCGAGTTGATCCTTACAATTGACTCAAAAGGATTCACTTTTCGAGTGTTGAAGGCACTGCAAGCGAGTGAGCAGAAGAGCGGTGGCAAACGCATAAAGAAGGTTCACTACGTTGCGCCGTCCGTTTGGGCTTACAAGCACCGAGGCAAGCGGGATTTTACCGAGTTGAAGCAGCTTCTAGATGCCATGTTCACGATCTTACCCTTCGAGGAAGACATTTTTAACGCGGGGGAGGAGATACAGAGTCCGGACAATAAAGGTCGAACCTGGTGTCATTTTGTGGGGCACCCAGCGGTCGAAGACTTTCTGGAAATTAATGGGGTCTACGAGAGCGGTGCAACTAAATCGT